CTGATCAATTGGCGAATAGAGCACACTAGTTTGATTAAAAAGAGGGGACGTTGCGACAGACTAGAATCGAATGAATGGACTTGGCAAAGAGCTCAAGGGTGTCTACACGATCAATCACTGGCATAAATGAATACTTCCAAAAACCGAAGTTACACCACGCCGCAATCTATGCGACAGAAACCATAGTATAGGCTAATCTATAACTCTGAGACTTACCACAGTTGCCGTAAATAGTGCTTGGCAGTGGGAAAAACAATTCTAGTACAATAATATATTATCAAGTTGGATTAAGAAAGAGAACACAAGAAAGATGACCATACTTAGACGTATCGAGAACACTTTGGTTTTGCCATTCTTATGTCCCCGAGGGCCAAAAATGCTCAAAATGTGCGTGTTACGTTAGAAGAAGTGTGGTTCGACGAACCGGATCTCTGCAAGCATCTGTGAAAATGGGACTATCACACCTAATTGACAAACCACCGTCTGATAAGTTATCTAGAAAAAGAGGCAAGCACTGATTCCGAACCACCAAAGATGAGACCTTATAATTGACCACGGAGCTACCTGATATATATGATATCGACAAACCGATGAATTAAAATAAAATATAAAATAAATAAATAAAAATAATAGGATCATTTGGAATCACTCGAGTTCATGCGTGAAAATTAGAAAAAAATGGACCAATCAGTAGAAAATCACATTCACAAAATTTTTTGGCACACAATCACTTGATTAAGGACAACATATTTCAATTCCCATTCACACAGAGAGCACCGCGTATACCTCATACATGGTCCTATTCTACGGAAAAAACGGAGGGTTCTGCACAAAATAGAGAGGGAATTGGAACCGATATACTTAAAAAAATGCAAACTTGTCTTCCGCATGGCTAGCTCGATTGGAGTGTATTAACTTCATATATATATATATATATACATATATATATATACATATATATATATGTACCGTCCTCAGAAAAGAGCACGGTGTCCGCGCGACGGCAATGAAAACGGAAAAGGGATATTAGGCCACAGGTCGGAAAAAAGGAAAGGAGATTACAGGACAGAAGGAGAACAATAACAACCATCCAATTTTGTTCGTTTTCATTAGCACCACTAATTTGTTTTCAGAGCCATACTTCTCTCAACAATCATAAGCAGTGGCAATCCTGAAACCTTGAAAGTAATCATCGCTGGTCCTTACATATCCAAACCGTTGCTCGTAAGCTGGAAGTTCCGCCCTCACAGATAAGAAGGTTGTATCACTTCTGCTCAGATTCGTCGGTGACAGGAGCTTTTGTTCAACAAACTATTCTCCCTAGACCCCTTTACTGATCCCCTACAATTTCTCCTGGTTTGGTGAAGACCGATTTCAAGTTGCTGAGGTGTGACCTCTCGATGATCAGCCATGTTTCCCAAGTTCCGGTATCTGTTACGATTGACTATATCTGTGATGCTCATATTGATGCGTGCTTGAATTTTGCTGGCAATATCCTATCTGATTGTGCCCATCCTATACACGTTAACCTGTGTGCATGCAAACCCCACTCCTTCACTCGTCCCAAATTAATAATCATCCCATTTCGGATACCTGCATACAGAAACCCTTTGGTACTCTATATTGCCCGGATACTGACCGACAAGGACAGTGTTCGGTCTCAGTTTTCTAATGCACTTCGTAGTTAACTCATATTTTTGCACGTCTTGCATCCCACTTTATCACCTATTGTTACCAGAATTATAACGGTGGTCTATTTCTGGCTGAAAGCTTCTACATAACTCGAGCGAATGCTTAAGAACACAATGATCTTTGGGGAATTTGAAATCATAACAATGCATCAGCAACTGTCGGAAGAAAAAGATTTGATCGATACATCCTCTATCGGCGCGAAACCTAACCTGCTCCTCGAGGATGTGCCCTTT